TATTGCGAAGTAAAGAAGGGCTTGAGGGTACTGCACGGCCCTGAAACCACGCCTTCCGGAGGAGGTACAATGGCGGAGCCTTGACGTGGCCCATTACCAAAACCAAGGATTAACTGAACAATTAGCGTATTATACTACGTAGGATCAATGCAAGATCAAATAATGATTCCAAGAGTAGACACTGCTCGCAACTTGAGAGGACCGAGGCGTTTCTACTAATTTTTTTAACCCATGCAAACAGGAAATGGCGCATAGATTAAACCCATTGAGAGGTATTTGCTAATAGAAGGTTATAATAAGCAATAGCGCACGGTAATGTTAACCAACATGGGATAAACTTTTATAGACTCATATAAGTGATAGAAATTCTGCTATATGAGATAAGGCATTGGGGTAAAGTTTTGCCTGACTTCCAAGGGAAATTTAAAATTTTGGGTCTTAAAAACTTGAGAACGTTGGAACTCAAAACTGTCAGAGCAACTCCAATGAGACTGTGTCCATAAATCTACGTGCCCAGTAGTCAACCCATTTCTCATCTCAGAAGTAAACCGTTCGCCTTGGTTACCTAGGAGTTAAACCAATTACCGTCGTTAAGGTTGTAATGCGATATCGTGCTGGGGGTAGGAGTTGGCCAATACTCCCTCACAAACGCTTGCCATTAAACCCACCTAAGGCGGCAATCTTGCCTGGAAAAAAATATGCCATTTTTTATAATTGTATGCACGAAAGCATTACAATAGACTAAAAGCTTTTTAATGCAGAAAAGACGGTTCGTCATCAAATTTATTATCGTGAGTCGCATTTAATGGAATAGGGGCTATTTAAAAGAACGTATGCTTGACTTTAAAGTTGAGGTTTTAAAGGAACACATCAACAGATCTTCAGTACGCGATGATGAAAGCAGACAGAAGTGCTCTGTAATCTCGTGTCCCTGACCCACCTGTATCAACTTCTCATATTCTTAGAAAACCATTTATACTACGAATACACGAATCAAAATAACAAAAAATGACGAACCCGTTTTACAAAAAAAATAATAACGCAAGTTTTAATTATCTCCTTGGCCGGAAAACCCCAATCCGTAAAAGCTGAGGTAGGCTTTCGATGCGTTTATACCATTCCGTGAAATTTCTTCACCTTCGGTGTCACACGAGAAAAGGCCTCTTGAGAGGATGATAATTAATAAAGGGTATCCGTTGATTGGCTACTTGAATGAGGCCAATGAGCACCCAAGGGCCTTACCTGCCACTGGAGTGTCTGGGTGAGAGTGCCTCAAACGGCATGTCCGGCTCCAGAGGAAGTGCGAAAGGACGCGGGGCCTTCGACGCTCGAGACATCGCCCTCAGGGCGCAGCAAAGCATTGCATGCAGCTTTCCCAACCAGACGAAACGCTTCTTTCTCGACGAGATAACGAGCCACCTGGTGGACACGGTCCACCAATTGGTGTGGCTTTACACCCGCTCGAAAGAGAGAGCCGACTACATTGTGAAACAGCTACTCAAGGTCAGCATCAAGCTTCACGTCGTTGTATTTAGCGGAGTTCTGCGCCAGCAGCAGGAGGATGACCTGAGAGAATGCCGCGAGGTGATGCGTCAAGCTGCGGTCTGCTTCATCCGCCACGTACAGGAGGCCGTCCAACCTCAGTCCGAAGGCTCTGACCTCGAGCGAATCCAGGTGGCCATCAAGGCCGCCAGCTCATTCGCACGCCTTGTGTCGGAGAAGCATCTCTCCAAAAGGGCCGTCGACAAGTTGACCGATGTGGTAATGTTCTTCGCGGATGAAAAATTTCTCAGTGCACTTCTCTCCAATCAACCACCCTATGCTGAGTTGGCTGCGGAAATTACGCATGATTTGCAGGAATCCATTGACCGAGGCATTCTATAGAGATGCTCGTGCGTTCTGCACATTTACACTGAGGTTGCAAATGTGTCCACGTTTCACCCTAAAGATGACATGCATGATGATGCATTTGGGATATTGCTTACTTAATGAAAACTGTTACTGCTCAATCCCGATTTATTACTGGAAATAAAAGCTACTAAGAACGATGGTTTTTTTGTTGGTCCTCATGAGTGCTCTGTCAGGAATCGCAATGATGAAACATAGGTGGTGAATAGTTCCCACAGAGAGCACACAGTGTTTTTTTAATTTTCTCCTGGTTTTTTATAACTGGAGTGCCAGGATAATGGCTATCCAAGATGTTAACAAGCATTTTCCCATCAAGGGTTGTAGCGTTTGGACGGTTTGGAATCAAATGCTTGTTGGTGCGCAATTATTTTTTGTGTTAGATACAGGAGGCTATAGAATGCTAATTTTAGAACTTTATCTTGTGTTCATCCCCAGCTGTCCTCCCACATACGAAAAGGGTGTCGACTTCCAAACATTCATTTAAACAAGCAAATTTTTCCAGCGGTTTATAATAATGGAACAATATAGATTCGTTTACGGCATGAAGTATTTCGAAGATGTTAGTTACTCCAAAAGTGATAAATAGTAACTAGAACAAGAGAATCCATATAGAGATATAAGAAATCGGAATATTTGCAGATCCACCATGCCCACTGTAGATATGGAAAACAAGCATTATCGTACAAATGCAGGATAAGTTGCATGCACAAGGCCTCTTGTAGGCGTTGCCATTCTTCAGCTATGCCTTATTTTGTTAAAGTAGGCGTTTGACTTCGCGTTTGTGTGAGCATTTAGAAATCCTACTTCCACTTTGAGATGTAAACTTCGGGTTACGGAAGCAGCATTCAGCCCTTCTGCATGCTATTAGTATGCTCCAGCGCTCCAAGTCTTCCCTGAGGTCGTAATGCGTCACAGTTAATGCCAGAACATGTTACTAACGTACAATGGAGTTGGGAGGTCACTAGCCTGCGCCAAAGGCCATGCTCCATGGCGGAAGTGTAATTTGCGCGGACTTAGGTGAGCACAAATCACTACAACACATTTTTCCACATTATTTTGGATTACTACGAATTTCAGCAAGGAATCGCCTCCACCACTATGCTGTAGTGAGTTAATGTTCGTATTTCTATATATTTAACAACGTAGATCCTTAAAACATTGTACAATCCACTTCCACTTGACGGCATCATTCTGTGACCACATTTATAACCCCTGAGTCCTTCCATACACCATTGATGGGTCTTATATACTTGCGTGAATCTTCACAACTCCCCAGAGAACTTGAAGGGACTACAGTAATTTTTAGAGGAGCAGAATGCTTAAATTTGTCTAAAGTTAGTCGAGACTAAACCGATGAATAAATGCAACAATGCGACCAATCCCAAATCAAACTCATTAATGGACTTAACTACAAAAATATTTAAAACAGGTAAATCATTGTAGTAATCATAGAAATGTTCATTTTATTTAAGTTGCTTTAAAGTTGCAGCTAACAATTACTGAACATAGAAAACACTTGTAGTTAGTAGGACATGTAAGGTATGCAATTCCAAAACGATTCTAGTAACATAAACAGCTCCTAATTCAGCACTGCTGACCTGAAATAGCCGTTATTCTTTATGCATCTAAGGTGCATTTTTGCATGTTCTGCTATTTTGTAAGAATGACTTCACGAAGGAAATATGACCTAAGAATGTTTTAGTTTGTCGTTGGGTTTCTCGATTGTAGGTAACAAGGGAGCTCTGCGATATTTTGAATAGTAGGGAAGCCTCCCGGTCCTTGAACACAATGCCACTTGTGGGAATAAAATTATCGTCTAATTTTCTAGACAACTACTGGTATGCTTTCATCTGTCCTCCATCCCGTCACACCGAACTGTTATTGTGTGAAACCCAGAGCTAAAGTGACAGTCGTCGGTAGTGGTTCTGTTGGCATGGCATGTGCGTTCGCCATAATGATGAAGGTATTATTGCTTTTAATGTTATTGTTTGGGAATGTGTAAATGAGCTATGTCTTATTGATGTGATGACCGAGAAAGTAAAAGGGGAAGTGATGGATCTTGAACAAGGTCAACAATTTCTCAACAACTGCAAGATACGAGGGGGTAGCGGTGAGACCGACCATAAAACCTTATTACCTGATCTTAGATCATGCTCTTTCTGCTGGCTCTGATGTAATTGTCATTACTGCTGGTGTTAGACAGCAACCTGGAGAATCACGCTTAAATTTAGTCCAACGAAACACTGATATTTACAAAGGTATGTTCAAGAGATAAACAAATCATAATAGGGCTGTCACAGTAATTAATAGTAAAAATAGAGTACATTTAAGTTCGCATCCTATTTAATTAACGCATAATCGATTTTTGTTACGCTTAAGATCTCATTCCAAGCCTAGTGAAGCACAGTCCTGACGCGGTGCTGCTCGTCGTGTCGAATCCCGTTGACATTATGACTTACGTCACCTGGAAGCTAAGTGGATTTCCTCGTAATCGCGTACTTGGCAGTGGAACCACTCTGGATTCCGCCAGATTCCGATTTTTCCTTGCTCAGAGATTCGGTGTTGATCCTCAATCCGTGCATGGAATTATAATCGGTGAGCACGGTGACTCCTCAGTTGCTGTCTGGAGTAAGGTAACCGTCGGAGGCTGCAATTTATACTCTATTAACCCCGCTGTCGGAACTGACAGCGATATAGAGAATTTTGGTCAAGTACACAAAGACACCGTGGGAGCGTAAGTGACTTATTCCTAAATCCTCATGATCCCCAGAGCCTATGAAATAATTAACCGCAAGGGTTATACTGCATGGGCCATTGGTGTTTCAACCTGGAAGATCGTGGACCTCATACTAAATAACAAAAATGCAGTCATTCCTGTCACGACTGCCGTAAAGGTAACGAATTACTAGCGTTCTGATTTGCTAGCTATATCTTAATTCTACAGTAAGAATTTTCGAGATTAAATCAAAAGAACTTGTAATAATGAAATATTAAAGTTCAACAAAGATCCAAGCTTAATGAGGAATAAGGCGCTAATGTTGCTTCCCCTAAAAATAAACGCAAATAACCATCGACTCGCCTAGCGCTACTTTTGGCATCATCTCTGAGAAACCGAGTTCATGTTGTGATGTAAGCATTACAAAGTACCTAACTACTGTATTACACTTCAGGGCCTATATGGAATAACCGACGATGCATTTCTCAGCCTCCCATGCGTCGTAGGCGCCACAGGAATTGCGAGCGTAGTCAATATCCCTCTAGATGACGCAGAAATTACCTCCTTGCAAAAAAGTGCCCAATTACTTCGGGAAACGACCGATGGAATTAACTGGTAACTACTACTTGCCAAAGCAAGACTATGCCTTGTTAAGGCCGTTTACACCAACTCAAATGCGACCAGAGAAAGCAAATAAAGCCAGTAACAAATTTGTGCATATCTGTTCAGGGCCAG